AAAAAGTAAATATAAAATATAAAATCAGCACAATATCAATATTAATAATGAAGAATTAATAATTGAGATCATGGACAATATTAATATAATATATAAATTAAAATTGTGATTAATTTAACTATTCAATAAAGTTGTTAATTAAATATAAATAAAGTAAAGTAATGTATTTGGTAATTTGATGTTTTTAAAAGAAGAGAGAAATTTTGGTAGATTCAACTTTTTGGAAAGAGAAAGAAGAAGGAAATTTGATTATTTGAATTTGTTAGAAAACAAAAAGGAGGAATTTTGGTGGTTTTGATTTGTAAAAAGAGAAAGAAATGGGTAAGTTTGGTTCTATTGATTATGAAAGAGAAATAAGGAGCGAAATTTTGCGTTTTCAACTTTTTTTGAAATGAAAGAAGGAAGAGGGAAATTTGAATCTTAAATTTTATGGAAGAGAAAGAGGAGGAAAATTTGGTTATTTGAATTTTATGGAGGAAAAAGAGGAGGGAAAATTGAGTGTTTCTAATTTATGCAATGAGAAAGAAGGAGGAGAATTTAAAAAAAAATTCTCAAAAAGAAAGAAGGAAATAAATTTGGTGCTTTCAATTTGTTGGTTTTTCAAAATTTTAGTCTATGAAATATGAATCTTTAATTTTATATGGAGGGTATGACTAGTTAAATTTATTCTTATATGCTTATGGTCTAATAACTAAATTAACCATTAGTTACAACAATCATTTTTAGAAACGTTCACTAAATTTGTCTACTTGTTTTCTATGCTTCTACATTTATTGCACGTGGTTAGGATATATGGTATATGATGTAGAGTATAGGATATATGGTTAGGGTTTAGCTTACCGATTCGTATAGCGGGAGCGGGAGCGAAAACGGGAGCGCGAGAGCGTCTAATCTTTGAGAATTATATTTTGAGAGCGTTGTAAGAGCGTTAATATTATAATAATTTAATTAATATTTATAGTATTTCACAGGCAAACAAAACTTGAATAGGACGAAAAAAGACAATTGGAATTAGTACTAATTTCATTCATATTCTCTAAGAAATGCACCAATAGTCAACGTGTGGGCTATCCATTATGTGTTGGGCCTTTCTGTTAAAATTGGTTCTATTCAAAACGGGCTTTGATCGGTTAACTTTGCTTCTTTTTTTTTTCCTATTGTGGGCTCGATATATAGACAGGCGAGGAATCAGGAAAGGAGTTCTCCTCCATTCATCTACTTCCTCTTATCTCTTCTTCTTCTTCTTCTATTCTTCTTTAACTGTACATATCAAAACCCCTAAAATTCACAACAATCCAATTTCACCACCAAGTTTCTGAGCAAGCCCCCAGCTATTTATCATCAGCTTCCCCAACTCATTTACCCATAAATGCTATATGCTTCTTCCCCTCAATCCCCAAAGGTTCGAGCTCTAACACAAAAAATCCCCAACATCAGTGACCCCATATCAAACCTCCTCTAATCAGTCATTCTTATCCAGCAACGAGGCTCCGATTTGGTGATTTTCACAATCACTAAAAAGACTTCAGATTTGCTGTTTTGGTGAATCGCATGCAATGAGAAGCTCCTCAACAGCTTGTTCAAATCTTCAACACAAGCGCGATCTTGAGCCACTATTAATCGCTCTCCATTCTATAAAGTAATGGAGCATACATAAATCATTTGTCTCTCCGTATCTATCCTCCAGATCTCTATCGGATCTATCTCCAATGAAGGAACAATTGTCGTCGAGAATTTGGTACAGATTTGAATTGTTTGTCTTACACAAGAACAAGAACGATCCAATTTTGTATATCAATGCTTTTGTTGTGCTTTGGAGTTCACGTGTTCTGGTTTCAGAAGTTCAGGATTTCCTCCCTAAAATAGGTTCTCGTTTTTTCTAGTATAATTCGCTTTCTCAAAGATTAAAATACGCGAATTTAATACGAACTGCCTGTAAAACGCGATTTTGCGCTCCAAAGCGGGAGCGTGGGCCCAAGGCCCACGAATTGTGTGACCTAAGTTAGGGTATAGCAAATATCACTTTTTTATTTATGTTTTGAAGATCAAAGTATGAATTTCACTTTAAATTAACTATACTAGCAATATCACAACTCATAAGGATATATGGTTAGGGTATAGGGTATGTGGTTAGTGTATAATGTATTGATGGTTTAGGGTATACGATCAACAAAATATGCTAACTTAATATTGCCGATTGAGGGTAAGGTTAAGTGTATAGGATATATGTTATTGATTAAGTTATGATTGAAGTCACAACAATAATACTAAAATACCAAATAAACAATTAATGGTGTCTTTTGGTTGCAAATGTAGATATCACCATTACTATTAGCTAGTGTACTTTACCAATTAAATTAATTACATAACAAGTTTGCAAGTCATACAAATTGATTAAACATTTTGACTAATTTTTTTTAAATTAAGTATATATACGAGGTAAAAAGAAATTGATAAAAATTGAGAGCAATATTTTAAATTAGTGTAATAAAATGTGTAAGTTGGTAACGGGTAAGGAGTAAGTTACCTGATGCGCTGACTCGAATAACCCGCAAACCGATCCTCCCGCAACCCGTCCGACCCAAAACCAGATGAACCCGCAACCCGATTTGCCCACAACCCAATTGAATCCGAACACGATGAACCCACAACTTGACTAACCCGCAACCCGTTTGAACCTGAACCCGCTGAACCCGAACACGATGAGCCCGCAACCCAATGAACCTGAAGCCCGACTAACCCGCAACCCTATTCAACTCAGCCCGAACCCGCCCGATTGACACTTATGGTGGTCGCTCTACCTGCCACCCCACCGTCTCCCCCTGTCACCGTCCCTCCGAAAACCATCTTAGGTCATTCCACTTCAACCCACTCCACGCTAGACTCAAAGCAACTTCGAGCCCTGCGCCCACTCAATATCACAACGGCCAAAGACCCTTGCGCCTAAAGGAACCCACTGCCGCCGCCTCCAAACCTCCTATTATCTCATCATGGACATTCCTATTGCCGCTCTCGGCGACCATGCAATCAACGGTTACCCGGGCCATCATCTTAATATTTTCATATCTGCCTCCCGTAAAACGGGTCACAAAGCAATCAAATGCTAAACCAAACGATTAAGAAATGTCGGGAAAAAGATGTGGAAATACGGTGCTATCAAATTTCTCCACACTTAAAAGGAGGGTCAATGAAATTAAAAGGAGTTGGAAACTCTATCCGTGCCCTTCAAAACACATCCTCAAGTAGGCGGTCCGTTCTATGGGTAAAATTTTTACTTGTACAAGAGACGGTTTAGCTTCACTCTGATTGGGTAAGAGTTAGGATAATAGTTGTCAGCCCGAGACACCTGAATCATCCTCATTGGCATAACCTTCGAGAACCCTGCACTCGAGAGAAAGAGATGGCCAGCATGGAGCCCAAGCATAGATGGTCTGTTAGGTGGAACATGATGATCAGCGGATACATATGCCACTTAGTCACCTGACTGGAGGCCTCCATAGTGGGGATGGAAGAGTGAGTAAGCATGTCCTGGGGGAACTGCCACGGTGACGGGAGCTGGGTGGCCCAAGTCCGGCTATGCACGTAAGGGACTGCCCTATACTGCTGCACACAGATTTCCTCGTAGAAGCCCTAGTAGTCCTCCTGTGACAGTGTTCGCTCAACTCTGAGCATGGACCCTGGGTCCAAACCAAGAACGACTTTGAATTCTCGGTAGCTCAAAGTGTGGGGCTGGTCGCACAGCTTGAAGTAGACGGTGCCCTCGTGGTTGTTCTGCTACTTCCGGGAGTGCTGGAAGGTGATGTAAAATGAGGGTGAGCTCCTCGTAGATGTCGTTCTGGAGCTCCAGCAGCCGCCTCCACTGCGGGTGCGGTACCACCTCCTCAATCGTGGCACGATAGTTGAGGTGCTCGAAGTAAGGGAAACTAAGGCAGTAGTGGCCTCCAATCTGCACCTCCAGTCACTTGGAAAATGACGCGTCGTAACCCTAGTGGTACCGGAGGTCCTGCACAAAAGGGTGGTCTAGGTTGACCATTTTCCTGCACAGACAGGCAAGAAATACCTCCAGAACTGTTAGTTTCAACACAATTGGGGAAAATGGCAAACTTCTCCCATACTCAAGTTTGAGAAGGCACCCTTGCTCAAATGAAAGATAATCGATTGAAAGTAGGAAACTAGAAGCCATTCGAATTTGAACCATCAGATGTGACTGACTCAAAAATTAAGGGATGATATATAGTTCTCCCCTAGCCGAATTGGAATTGGTACCCCTATCATTGAGCGCAATTGGGGAATCCGCATTTTCCCACTTTTCCTTTTATCCCATAGAACTTATGGCAATTTGATCAATGCCTCATCGCGTGTTATCTAACCTTATTCGTGATGAGAAGGGTAATACCCAATCCACAATAGCGTGGACAAGATATGGACACTACTTTTATCCTGTTCTATCAATCCTGCTTCATTCTTGACCCATTTCACCTTTATTTGTATTAGCTTAATTTTCAACTTATATATAAGAATTGATCGACATGTTCCAACTCGTAATTGGGTGGGTATTATCCAACCTGACCCGTACTTGGTGCAAACAGATATGGATATTGAAGTACCCGCCCATTACCATTACCATCACCATCACTACTCTAGACCACATAAAACGTACAACACGTTGGCATTAAAAAACCATGTAGTTGCAGTAATTGCATTAAAAAAAAAAAAAAGTGAAGATCGTGAACTACATAACTAGGATGTAACATTTGGCTTTTTTTATGTGAGGATGTAACATTTGGCTAAGGTCATATGTGCGATGGAATTTGGATTTCGATGCAAAACCACCAAAAACAAAAGGGCAGGTTGGAATAAAAATCCCCTATTACTAACTCTTGGAAATCCCTACTCCCTGAGAAAAACTGTATAAACCAGACGCCAACATACGAAAACCTGAGGACTATTTGAATACACTCTACCAATTTACACGTCCATGAAGGCATAAAGCACTCCAACTATCTGTATCCGAAACCCATGTGCTCATGACCAAACGGCCCTTGACCATGCCCAACTGCAGCCAAAGGGTGAACCTGCTTCGGCTTCAGCCTGAGTTCCATCTCAATTAACTTCTGCAGTGCCTCTGGACGATTTGTTCCACTGTCGACGCCTGGAGCTGATCACAGTAGGAACATGCGTCAAGATGTGTTGCATAAAGTAGCCATCATATGATACAACAATCAGTAAAACAACACCTCTCTAACATGTTTCAGCTGTTGACTAAAGAGAACCCTAAAAATATAGCACGCTTCATGTGCATTACAAAGGAAATTAACCGCTAGGTACCTATATAGGCATCTCTATTATCTGCGACCACATCTAATCATTTCAATGCATCAACTAAGGCAACAAAGTCAGAGAAAATGTCATGCTTTCTGCACCAAATATGAGCTCATGAAATTTGAGAAAGGGTTCCCTGTAACAGCTATGTTATAAGAACCATCTCTTTCAGTGACAAACTGAAAGACACAGTTTCTGCTATCAATTTGAAAAACAATAGCAACGACTAGAAGGCCAAAGATGACAGAAAATAACACAGGAAAGACTCGCCATGAGATGGAATCGCGACAGCACCTAAGTTGGTCGGCCTCTGGCCAAAGGGGAAGTTTTGCATTGGATTCGCATCCGGTATAAAACCTGGCATCTGGTTGTTAAGATGTGGAACAGCAGGAGCACCCGTAGGAAATCCACGTGAGAGATGAGGAAAATTGTCAGTCATATGCATCTGTTGCAGCAATGCATTCTGAGGGCTAGGATCAAACCCAGTAAGTGTGCTGCCGCCATTAAGATGATGGAACATATTCCCATCATAGTGATTACTAGGAGCACGACGATGAATGACATTCTCTGGGGAAATGAATCTCATCTGAGCATTGATTTTAGGGGAATGAGAATCCAATGAGTGAAACATCAAATCAGCATTATTGATTTGAGACGGATTAAGCTGATGTGGAGATGGACGGACCCGAATATTTTGATACTGAACTTCCTGTTCCCTCGCCTCATAAGGATTGCGACCAAAAGGTGGACCAGCTTGGCCTCCTATGAGAGACCTCTCATCTCGGAACGAACTTAAAGCTGTAAGCTTTTCAGCAATGTCAACTGTCATCTCTTGTGTACCCAGCACTTCAATCTTATCCGACGTGTTCCTAGCATGTACAAGATCAAGTGCATTCAGAGGGTCACTAACTGCAAGCAGGCTGTCCTCCTCAGGGAGCCCAATCTCAGCACATGATACTTGTCCACCAAGTCTGGAGACCAATTCAGACTGGATCTGTGAAGTATCTACTTTGTTGCTAGAATTAAAGGCTATGAAGTGATCCTCAATCCTATCCGACTTAATTTGCCGAGGCTGGTTTGATAGTGGGACGCCACTTCCCAGGCCTGATATGTTGGATGTCATTCCTAAAGTTGACAGAAGTAGACCACCATCACCTTCAAGGTAAGGACCATGGAACTGAGGAATATCAAGTTTTGCAATACCAGCCTTGGCGGGTTGGCTTGCAGTTAGTACTACTGGCTGCAGTTCTTTCATAAAAGCAGTTCCGAAAAGAGTTTCAAGAGTCAAAGCCTTCCCCAAAGTTACAGAATGTTCAGTATCTGACGAAATAGAGATTCCTGGAAGCCCAATACTGGGTTCTTCTATATCCTTTATATTGTCTACAGACTTAGTTCCTAGAATGGCAGAAGGAAATGCATCATCCAAACTTGTGCCCTTCTGCAATAATGAGAGAATGTGCTGGGATGCATGATCATCAGCCTTGGCTTTCAGTTGAAGAGTGGCTTCCAATTTAAGAGTTTTCTGATCCACGACATTCCTCCCACTTTCATTAGCTGACAAAGATGATCCACTTCCAGTAATCCCAGATAGGATCGACTGCTCAAGGTCTTCACATGTAAGTACAGCTGTCACTGGTTCCACTTTATAATCAGAGAACGGTGGAGACTTTTCAGTATCTTTAATAGCAGCAAGCACTGAGCTTGATCTCCTATCTTTGTCAGCAAGTTCACCATTTCGAACCGACAAGTCTGGCAAGATGTGCTGCTTGGCAGTTCTACCATCAGTAGGATGAGAGAGCCCTTTTTCACCACCCACGATTAAAGAAAGCAAACTGTTCGGCCCACCAGAAGAGACATCGTCGACTGGATTCTTTTCTGTAAGACTCAATCCAAAACGAAGCTTATAATAATATATAAAAGCAAAATGCATATTTTATCAAGGAAAAAAAAAAGCTAACACCAACAGCTGGCAGGAAACCAGGACAGACTCACAGAGACCAAAAGCTGGCATACCTTCTTCAAGAAACCACTGGGCAAACTTGGAAGCTTGTACATCAGACGAAATCCATGCCTCCTCCATTTTGGGACCATGTTGCTGTGCAAAGAAAATATTAAAAGAGGCCCATCCTCCCTAAAACAGAATTAGTTCAGATAAAGAAGATAAGCAAAGTGAGAGAACAATTACCTCAACGGAACTAGAAGAATCATCACCATTTGGAACTAAAGCATTCCCAAACAGCTGTGCCAGAATTGAGGTGGAGCCAGTTGGGTCAGATCCACCAATGAATTTACCTTTCACCACATCCTCGACACTCAGATCTGTAACTCCACCATTCTTTTGAGTTTCAAAACCTTCTAAAAGCTCCAGAGTTTTATAAAATTGAGCATCTTTCCCAATTAGTTTGCTAGAGGCATCCACTGTGGAACGTAAATCCAGTAACTTTTGCCCTTTGCTACTATTGACTAAAACATTAATACTAAAGTTGCCAAGCTCTTGCTCGCTCACATTTAGTGATTCTAGACGCTGCACCTGTTCTTGGTTTTGTGAAGCTCCAAGGAACAAATTGTTCCCTTTGTTGTGCGAGCCTTCAACTTCATTGACTACCTGCCAACCATTAAACAAGAACGAACTGCAATAATAAATTACCTCCAGGCTCCAGCACTGTGGAAATTCACAAATAAGGCAACAAAAATAAAGCATAGGCCATTATCTCATCTTTGAACAGAGCCTGATCTTCTTGAGAGTTACCCAGTTATAAACAAATATCACTCTTCCAAAGATATTTGCATCTAAGAGAGTTACCCACACCTGATCTTCTTGGTGATGCCATAGCCAAGGTCCTAGCTACAGGTTATTGCAACTAGAGTCCAAGAAGAATAGAAATAACAGCAACGACGCTTGCGGGCATTTCTAAATAACATTACTCTCCAATTTTGCACAAAAGTGGCCAATACAATTAACGCCCCTTACTTGAAATGCTTAGAGAAAGAAAGCCAACCAAATGCAATTTACTTTCAAGAACACAGATATTTAAAATAAAACAATCTGACAAATTCTCAGATCTCAAAAGAAGAAAAAACCATTGTGAAAGAAATACCTCCAACTGAGAATTGGTCACCACTTTAGTTCCAGTGCTTTTCTCAGCCGATGCATTTGAAAAACCTGGAGGGACAAGAGGTCTAGATGAAGGAACAGATGATGTGGCAGCTTTATGAGAATTATTACTTGACACTGGCCCGTTCAGTTCATTGCTTCTGTCTTGACTTCTCTTGTTATCACTTGAATCTCCCATCAACGAAGAAAAATTGAAGTCATCTTTACCCTTTCCTGGATTCAACTTCTGCCTTTCATGAAAAGCTTTATGATGTTCCTTCCTCAATAAATCAAAAGAAGCTGGAAAAACCATAAAACATGGGACTTACTACATTCACATGACAGAGCAACACACAAACATGTCAAAACAAAATGAACCGACCATATCTTGCAGTAAGAGGATCCTAACCTCTTCGTTTTTTTTCCTCTTCTTCTCTGTCTTCAGTTGTGCACTCAGAAGAGCCAAAAGTTTCATCATTAAATGAGTCAGTGATAAACCGGCGAGAGTTAGGAGTAGCCTGAAAAATAGAATTCTCGGTTTTACATCAATTGCGCGTAGCAATACATGCATGTTGCTCATCTCTATGTTAAGGAAATGGCATGAAGTACTTTTCGTTTCGTATATAAATTGTATGGAGCATATAGAAAACTAAACAAGCTACCAGAATGAGTAGGCAGGACAATAGCATCATTCTGCATACATCCAGATATATGGACAGACACTATACCAAGTCTATCACACATCACCTTGTAAGGGCGAGGGGGATAATATGGTTCGCTAGGCTCTCGGAACGTTGAAGCTGAAGAGCCCACTGCCAAACCAGAAGGCCGTGGGAATGAACCACTTCCAAGAAGCCCATCATGCTCAGGAACCTGCCAAGGTCGTCGAGACTGGTTGGCATAACGTCCTCCAGTATCTACATATTAAAATTACAAATTGGTCAAAAAAACACTACTCTAAATGAAACACCAATTGGAAAATGTGTGAAAATTACACGCATTCTATTTTCCTTAACCAAGCACTTATAGCGAGAAACCACAACAAGCATTCTAGTTTCCATCAAAATAGACAGCAAACTATCCTAACCTGATTCCTTTTCAGATTGTGAAACACTGTCACGATCACTTCTAACTGATGAGCGACTATCCCATCTTCCCTGAATCCCACGAGGAAAATTACTTGTGTCCCCTCTGGTTGGTGGGGACGAACCATATTCTGTTCGCTTATAACTTTGTGATGAGAAACCACCAGATGCTCTAAACTGATATTGTGAAGTGTCCTCAAATTCACTGAGAAGAAAGTATTCAGCAGGAAAATGTGGCGGATGAGACCTCCAACTTGTAAGGAGTGAAATTAAAACTCTTCTTTATAGCATGTAATATGAGTATATGACATCCTGATTTACAGAATATCAAGAACCACGCTCATGCTACTGATATATAACTTACCTTAAAAGTGATTGGTCAAATCCACTTGGAAGCCGCTTGCAAACATCCAAGTTGCTAAGAGAGAGTAGAAATTCTTTAGTGTACAACAATCTTGACCTTCTGGACCATAAAACCCATTTGAATTTGAAGTCAGACCTCGACGCTGAGTTATGGAATCAATTGAGAGAATCAAAGAGAAACAGAGGATGCCATGGAGAGAGTTCATTACTTTTGAGATTCTGTGCATGCCTCATGCAGATTCAGGCCATTTAGTTTTTCATTCGCTATACTCATGGCGCTCAATCAGTTATTGAAGCAACACCAGTCGACAGGGAGTTCTTCTAAACCTCACAACCAACTGCTAACCGAGTGTGATCTTGAATAAAACAATCAGACGCATCTCAAGCCCAGATGTAGCGTCAAGATTATCCTTCCAAGGCAACCCAATCACTTCAATCTCCATTCTGAAAACAGCATGTCTAACTAACACTGTCCTCAAGACAGCTCTAAGTCAAATTATTTACAATTGAAGTGTCAACTTCGCTCAAACACCGGCAATCGGATTCAAAAGGGGGGAAAAGAGAATCAGCTTCCCTGCTTTAAAGATGCCAAATCCGAGCTGACCTCAGGAAAATCCCATCCTCTGATCCATCCGAATCGTTAGCAATTCTCGATATAAATAAAACCTATCTACAAAACACCTTAATCCTCACGAGGATATGGCCATCGGGTATTGCACAAAAGGATTGAAGCTCCAAATGCAGATATATACAAACAATCACCAGTTCTCATCGATGAAACACGAATCTGGCTTCCTACGCCATCCAAGTCGCTCGATTATCATCAGAAATTTACCTAATTCCGGGTGTTAGAGAAGTGGGGAAAACGGGAAGTATAAGACGAGAGATCAAAAGGAAAAATATTCCTAGGGTTTTTGTGATAATTTACAAAACTTGAGGAACTAGGGTTTCATTTGCAGTCACGACCGTTGCGAAGGAGAAGCATAGATTAGATACCAAGAGACTGAATAATAGGGTTTCGATGTCCAACCTCGGAAGCTCCTTTTTGTGGATCGAAGAGTTCGTGTTGCAGAAAGAGAGACGATGAGTAGGGAAATGCAGAAATAACAAATGCACTTTTTTTGTAGCGACTTTCCAAAATGGCCCTCTACTATGACGTTTTATCAAACATGTCCTTCTACTATTTTTTACATCAAATATGCCCATATACTTTTTAAAAATGATCAAACATATCCTTTTGTTAAAATTTTCATCTAAAAATCGTTAACCAAGGCCGAATTATAGTTTGGGCGACACAAATGACTAAAATATCCATAATAAATTCACTTTAGAATTTTTTTGGTTCTTTTGTATAATCAAATCATTCAAATAATTTCACTTTGAAAAGACCCAGGGAAATAAAACAGGGGACACAACTGACATTTTCCCTCCCATTTGTCGATGTCAGGTCGTCTAAATCTCAATTCAACCGTGATTGACGATTTTTTCAATCGAAATTTTAACAGAAGGGCAAATTTGATAATTTTTTCAAAGTACAGGGGCATATTTGATGTAAAAAATAGTAGAGGGGCATGTTTGATAAAACGTCATAGTAGAGGGGCATATTATACCTATAACCCTTATCTAATTGGAAGTTTCCTTTAATCCTTTATTGTTTTTTTTTTTTTTTACAAATAGTGTAACACCCATGACCGCCGGTCATTACATTTACCAAAATGCCCTTGAGAATCAAAATAATACATTTGCCTTGAAAAATGATAAACAACGAAAATTCATCCATAAGCAAAATCCGAATCTCAAACAGAAATAATCCTTGTCAATTCAACACAAACGAGCATCTGTCTCGAGTCTACTAATAAGGAATTCATAAAGTAAAAGGAGTTATTGTAAAGCTTTCCCGGTCACTAACCCTTATGACGACATCCTGAGCAGCAATGGTGTCCCAGTGGTTCGTCTACGCGTTCCTGCTCTCTAGTAACTCTTGAGTGCGGGTGTGGGGTCAGTCCTAGGTGCAACTTATCTTAACAAAAATAGCTACTCAACAACTTAAAAAGAAATAAATACGTGAACATGCATGATTAAGTAATTTCATTACCTTGCTTAGAGGGGGCCCCGTGCTCAGCCTAACCAGCGCAACTGACCGACCACCTGAACGCGACATGACATGGACCTCTATCACGGTGGGAGGTGAGATACGTGGTAAACATGGACCTCCTTCACCATGGGAGGTGAGGTAACCGCGCGCTAGCTGGGCGACCGACCGGTACCTAAACGTGAACATGGACTCCTTTTCTAAAGGAATTGGTACATACATGGACTTCCACACCCTGGGAAGTGAGGTGGCCGCGTGCATAGCTAGTTAGGCGAGTTTCTAAAATGTGTTCTTGCTTACTTAACGTGATACATGCACTTGTCTATTTGAAATTATAACTTGAAACTTAAACGTAGAAAGCCAATAAGACATACATAATAGAATGCATAAAGTAACATGACATAACTTGAACATTAAGTCTAGCCCCCCTTTAACCACGCACCTTAATAGATTAGGTCGTTTGACAACTCATAATGGTGCTACCAAAGTCGACTCGCCCGTAAACCTATGGCGGAAAAAATCGAAGTTCAGATCGGCGGGATTTTCGGGTTCTAGTGATTTCCATGACTTGGGACTACCTCGCAATTATTGCAAGGTAAGGGCTTGCTAATCCATTATTAATTGATTTGTAAATTTTTCTAATATCTTGATTAAGTCCTTTTTAAGAAGCTTGATAAATAAGGATTTAAACTATGCTAACTTCTAAAATATATATAAAGAATTTCGTTATAACGTATTAACTAACTAGTAGCGTATTTATAATATATCTATCATAAATTAAAACATATTAACCTAACAATCAATCACAAACTCCATTGTACATACGTATCCATGGTTTCCAGTGTTGAATTAGTAATTTATTACTAATTATTAGACATTCATATTATTTCGTTTCACCCCAAAATACGTCTTGTCAGTTAAGGCCGGTTTCCTACTTATGAACCATGGATCTCTCTCGTGCTTTGTCGATGTGGGATTAGCCTAAGGTGTTACATACACCCCCCCCCCCCCTCGGGACTCAACGTCCTCGTTGAGGTTTGGCCCACCATCGTTCAAGAGGGATGCGGAGAGACTCAGATACCAAAATGACACGTCCCGTCTCTTTTCAAAAACCAAACCAAACCATAACTCAAACCAAAAACCGGTTACTCCGGAGCAACCAAACCACTTTTTAAAATAAAAAAACTGACATTATTTAAGAATTTCTAACGAAAAGCCCCAACACTTGGGCAAAATTCTCAATCTCAAACACTTAAAACGACTTAACACAGAATCTCCAGTTTATACTAATAACCATGAAACAGAGTAATTAACTAATCTAACTTGACTCCTCACGAGTTCCTTGACTTCTCATTAATGCTGGTACAGCTGCTCGCATCGCCTTGCCTCTCCTTGCAGTCCGCCTCTGCTAACCCTTCCTCGACCTGGTGAGTGAGAAGGGTCAGTCTCGTCGTTCCTTTCTAAGGTCTTTGCCCTAGGCAAACTCTTTACTAAACACATTATTAGGGGAATGCCTTCCTAGCATGAAAGTCGTTCTCGCTTTCTGCTCTTAAATAACCATTCTTATCAACAACATTAATTCACAAAAGTTCTCGACTTCTATCCTTATCTCAACACAAAACTCTAGGACCACCGCGTTACGTCTCGCCGTCCGGTGTCCTACCCTAGTATGCCAACCGCGTTACGTCTCGTCGTCCGGTTGCATACCTGATATAATCAAAGTTGCGCAGGGTCAAGCTTCTCGAACCAAACAGAACCGGATAGGATGGAAATTGATCGGACAGTACTCACTCGTGAATAAAGGCAATCGATATATGAATCGATCGGACAGATTCAACTCGGAATAAAGGGCAATCGATATGGGTAGCTCGCCACAACCAGGGTGAATACCTAGCTGATAAGAGTCGCTCTAACACTCTGGAGATTCTCAATAGAGTAATTAGGGCAAATTCCGTGTAGGGAACTCGGCAATAGCCTCTAAAATTCAATAATAATCATCTAAGGGCAAAACCAACGTGTTCAGCACTTTAAATAGGCAAAGTACAACCCAAATCCGACTCCAACATGGAAAAACAATCAGAAACCGACTTTAAAACAAGGAAACCCGAAAATAGCCCAGCAAACCCGTTAAGCCCAAACTGTTAAGCCTGAACCCGTTAAGCAAACACGTTAAGGCTGAACCCGTTAAGCAAACCCGTTAAGGCTTCTTCTTGCAATTTGCCTTCTCTCCAGCACTTCCTCCTTCTTCCTCAACTCGAATCATCATATATGGCTTTCCTCGAAACAGCTCCACGTCCATGGCTCCAAAGTAGCTCTCCAAATACGTTGCAAGCTTCTCCTTCAACGTTCTTGCCTTTGCACGTGTGACTGGCCCATTGATGTCCTCATCAGCCCCTCCTTCTTCAAAAGGATTTTCCCTCAAATCCGAATTGCCATCCAAATAAGGTGCAAGGTCAGAAACATTAAACGTTGCACTTACTCCGTACTCTCCTGGCAACGGTGGAATACGTTTCAGAGGGGAAAACGTTTCATGAGTGGGGTTTAATTGCGGTAACGTTTCAGGAGTGGGAAGAAAGAGAACTGAAGGGAAGAAAGATATAAAGAAAACAATCTTTCCTCATCGTCATTACCATTCCACCATAGGCAACCAAGTTTTCCCGCGAGAGCAATCGAGCTTTAGCAACGCCGGCCATTACCCCTGTCCCGGAAGCCCAACGTCAACGTCGTTGTCGACAATAGCGTTCTTCATATACTGTAGCGGTAACGATTCTCGATTCTCGTCTGTCCCCAAGTTCCATCATTAAGCCTCGACTAACCCGATGAATGTTGTAATAATTGTATCTTCGACAGCGGTCCCGGCGTAGTCAATCTCAACCAAGCATCGAAACCTTGGTATCATCGTGTAGAGGGAAATCTCAGTAGCACCCCGGTTTTGACGGAATCGAGTTTCGACGTTGGACAAGGAAGATACGAGCCTCTAAAGCTTGAGACGTGAATCGGATAGTTCAGGTATCATTACTGTCTGTTCGAAAAGTATAAGGACCTAGAGGGTAATTTTGTTTCAGTCTGTGAGAAAATGTCCATGTTAGTTCCCCATATTTCCGGTACGAGCAGCTTAGTCCCCGGAGTTTTAAACTTTTTATATTCGATCGAAAATGGGGTTTTCTCTAGATTATTATTAC